GGCAGCGGGGAGCAGCAGCAGCCATCCTGCAGGCCCACAATGAAAGGGGGGCCCTGGGGGCGAGGGAGTCGCCATGGCGGGCCAGAGTGTGCTCAAGGCCTGGCTAGCGGCCATCTTAGCCCGGGCCTCGCTCACACAGTGCCAAGGCATCGGGCACGCAGCGCTCCCACAGCTTTTACCCCAGCTCTCCTGACTGGAAAATCATAATACACCTCTCCTTCACGAGGCAGCACAAGTTGCCCGGGGCCACAGAGGCGGCTGCGCCCTCACCATGGCTTTCCCCTCAGACGTGAGCGGTGCAGGAGCAAAGGCAGGGTTAGCCCTGTGCAGGCAGCCACTTTTGGGGCACAACTGCCCGCCTGAACGTGCCCCGATGAGTCCTGTAAGCTGCCAGGCACTGGGCTGGCGTCCTGACTGGAGTCTGACCCTGGAAGACGCGGCCTGAACAGGTACAGCAATACAGGTTGGCAGTCCGAGAGCTATGAGAGAAAACGTCGCCTGCCTGGCCATCAGAGAGCGAGTTATGGGCAAATTCTGCCTTTCTCCTGGCCGAAACAAAATAAATCCCAAACCAAAACTGCAGAGACACCAGTAAAGAAGATGCGAGCTTCCTAACTCTTAGTTTAATACACATTTAAAACAAGATCAGTTAGAAAAGCAAAAGGCACGGTTACACAGACAACACGGACAAAGCTACACCTGCATTTCCCACTCCACGGGAGCTTTGCAGTGGAAACATCAGAGTTGTTCAGTTCTTCAAATGAGCAATACTAAATACCAACCGAGGAACCCTCACCCGGGGTCCCGGGCTGTCCTCAGATAGGCTACAGCTATTACTGACATTAAAGTAGTATTTGGGGAGCGTTTCACGTGTCTTTAGCCACAACGGGGCTATTTCACACGGTGCAATAGGCACATGACGCACATTGAAAATTTGGCGTCTGCTCCAGTACTCTGTGGAGAACCAGAGCACGAGGGTGATTGCAACCGCACACAGACAGGGCCGTGTTATACATCTCGGTTAGACAGTGAAACATAAGGGATGGCAGGCTAGCTGCTCTGCTCCGGGGTTGTCTACATGGAAACCCACACCATTATAATGACAGCACTATAGGTCAACCGCTACTGCTCCTCGCCACGCTGGCGCACATCTCCACTCTTAAACTGGCTTTCTCCAGTTTAGCTTAAATGGCTTCCAGCGTGACATAACCGGTACACAGGAGAGTCCTGCCTTCTGCTAAAGTAAATATCCACGGAGGTTGTACGTGTACAGCTCCTTGCTTTAAAATCCGCCCCCAACCGTACGTCTGTAGCTAGACCTGGCCTTCGGCTACCGTTTCTGTACTCCGCACACTTCTGGGCTGTTCACAGTGCCCGTGAAACACTATTACACCCTGCTTCCCTTGGGTGCTAATCCTGCTTGTCAACCCAAAGGCAGAAGCAGACGGTGGCTTGGCATTTTGATTACGTTGTGATCTGTTTGAACCTTCCAGACTCTTTTGATGTCTGTGCAAATTTGAAAGGGGGAGCCTTCATCCTCCACAATGAAACTCCGCTATCGCATGGTGAAACATCTCGGGACTCCTACGTCCGTAGCCATTGCTAGATTTGAAGTGGGGAGGGAAGTTATGGCTCCTCCAGGAAGAGTCTGAATTTCAGACTAACCAGTTCTGGCCCTGAGCGGAGAACACCACGGGGACAGCATGTTGCTTTTCAAACAAATGCATGCGTAGGGGAGCATGCGCATGCACAGAGACACCATATTTATACAAATAGATGCATTCATAGGAAAATGCAAATAGCATCCTCTTCCGTCCCAGGCTCCCTTAGAGCTCCTGACATCCCAAGGTTTCAGAGGAGTACAATCGAGCTTCAGATCAAACATTAGCCCTGCGGGGGCTCCCTCAGGGAAGCAGCCGTGCACCGGGGTCTTTTCCCCGCTTCCGCGCGAGGTTTTCCGACCCGGCCTTCCTTGGGTGCTCTGTTCTGACACACGTACAACACACGCGCGCGCATGCAGAGCCTTGCTAAAAGGTGCTCTGGGAATTGAGCTCCGCTTCCTCCTTCTTCTAAATCAACTGTCATAAACCAGCTTTTGTTTTATTTTTAACAAAGCGACAGAAATAATCTCCACGCACAGCCCTTGCCACTCCCACGGCCCTGTCCTTTGGCACAACAAGCTGCCCAGGGTACCCCGAGGACAGGGGCATGGGAAGACAGCAGGGTAAGAAAGACCAGGAGAGGCTGCTTTCTGCTGCACAGAAATCCGCTCCTCCTCTCTTGAGCCCATTACCTGGGCTCAAGTAATTACTCCCAGGCAGCGAGGCAGTGGGATGGGAAGGGGGCTGGATGGTGGGTAAGGCACTCCCAACCTCCCCGACCCAATCTCCAGCTGGCCCCTTCATCCCCAGCCCACTGAGGTGCCCACTTTCGACCTGCATTTTACCTTGCGCTCTGCAAACCACGGTTTCTCTCGCTCTTTGGTACCAGCAAGAGGTGACCGCCGCAGCACCATTGCAGCAATTGATGGGCTGACATGCAACTTGTGACAGCCCGAGCTCTGCCTGCCTGTGGCGCATCCCTCTCTCCAGCCTAGCCAAGGACCGGTGCCTCCTCCTCCTCCTCCTCCTGTCCCATTCGCCTGGGTCCAGGACTCAGACATACGGAGACATTTCTTGATGAAACCTATCAGTGAATGAGTGGCAGCTGAGCAGGTACCGAGCAAGACGCGGGGCCAGACAGCAGCCAGGGGGGAAGGCAGCGGGTGGAGGGAACGTGCCTCGGGAGGAATACTCACAAAGGGCTGCTTTCATTAATAAAACATTCCCCCCTCGGTCGCCTTTTGATTTGGGTGTAAGAATTAACCCCATCTGCCCAACAGCACGCTACCTACCACGTAATCTCTGCTGAGGAAGGCCGTCTGACGTGTCCGCTCAATTGCTACGCTTCCCCCTGCCCACACTCCTCGGCTCTCCAGACCCCCTCCAAACAGCTCACCAGCCTCGCTGGGTCTGCCCTGTTGAAGAGATCCTCTTCCCACAACATAGATTAGACCCAGTGAAAATAGGCTTAGTGAAAATACCATTTCACTATTAATGCCCCCCCCCGCCTTCACACTCTCTCACACCCAGAAAGATTATAACAAATCCTGGTCACCTTTTGCCCCTGCTAACTACTGCTCCAGTCTTTGCACTGCACGCTTTCTACCGCGAGTAGAGAGCCGGGCACAGGGTAGCACTTATATATATACACACACATATATCTAGTCAGCATTGGAGATGTTCAGCCGCAGAACACAGATCTCCCTGCACAGCATCTCGCCTTGTCACGATACCCCAACCAGTCCCTCTCTGCTGTAATTGCAATGCCTGGTCCTTGGGCATCAGCTGAAAGTTGCAGCAAAACCTGCGTTGGTTTAAGCATGATCTGTCCGTTCAAAATTGGTGGGGGGTTCCTTTTACATCACTGAGACATTTCTATTCTCTTTCTGTTTCAAGTAAAACCGAGATGCAGAGACGCCTTCGAACAGACAGCCCCTTCATTTTTCCAGAGGTGTGTTTTAATGAGTGACTCGCCTTCCAAAAAGGGGCCGGTGGAGGGGAAGGACAGCAGATTCTCCACACAAATTCAATAGCTGGTAGGTTGCCATGGGCTAAAGTATTTCTTTGCACACAGGAAGGGAAGGGACTCCAGAGCACTAAGGGTTTTGCCTCCCATGAGTTATAGCTCTACCCTTCAAGAGCGGAATAAATGCTTTATCCCATTGCAGCCTGCGATGTATTCTACATAGATGGATTGATTTCCCCTATTGTTCTTAATAAATCCTGGCGCATGAAGAAACTCACTGCACAGCCATTTTTCCTGCCTTGTTCTACCTTGCAGAAGTAATAAGGGTCAGATGTGACTGCAGTGGGAAGCAAAGGCCGTACGCGAGGCGGTACTTTGCTGGATGCAGTGGGTGTGCTCGCAGGGGCTCGGTGGGTGCAGACAAGCAACGCCCTTTTCTCGGTTTATTCCCCCTTCTAGTCTAAGCTGAGGAAAAGGGGAACCATGGCTGGGTACCACAGCATCGGCGTGGCTCCAAGGGGAGCAGTTGCTCTACAAGCTGAGCCTGCATGAGCCCCCCTGCTCTGCACGGGGACAGGCAAGGCTCTGGCCCTCTCCAACCGGAGCTCTCACAATGGCTGATAAATACAGGGCTGAGCCCTGCACCTCTGTAGAGCCTCCCTGAGCACACTCTACTCCCTGCTGTGCCCTGTCCATCAGACCTGCCCCTGCCCACGTCCCAGCCGAGAGAAGCCCACACTGCCAGCCCGGGGGCTCCTCTGGTTTCTAAAAACCAAAAAAAAACCCCAAAACGCCAAACCATCGCCTTCTCAATGACTCCCAACTGCACAATTCAGACCCCCAGGTTGTTGTTGAAAGGCTCTCTCCCTCCCTACCGCCTTT